AGCAGTTACTATCTCCCTGTGAGTGCCTCGTTTTCGCAGTTCTGTGCCTAATTTGAAGTATAAGAGACAGAGTGAAACGAGGCAACTGTTCTTGACACCATTTAATCACGTGTCAAGAATACACTTTCTCTATCACTTCATGTTCCGAAATTCAGACCGCCTGTTGTTTGTTTTTATAGTTTACGAATATTCACTGATAAAAAAGGAGCAAATAAAGTGGACTTCGTTGATTTTATAAACTTGGAGAGGATTTTCTATTGATTTACGGGTGAGTTTTGTGAAAGCAGTAGCGTTGTAAAACTGGGTCACGTCAGTATTTCGCGTGGAAACCTATGCATTGAATATGAATTTCCATGACTGAATAGAACCATATACATGAATAAAAGAAGAACTAAATTTGATGATAAGTGTGATTTTCATCTCTTTAATTCCGAAGAATTCATTTAACGGTGTTTGAAGTTGTTGATTGTAAATTACATCTCAAACTACGTATAGGCACCCTGAGCTTCAGAGATAACTTGCCACTAACCTCTTCACTATAGCCTATCTTCATCGTGTCAAGTTACCTCTGACCAGATTCGATTGCCTCCGCCGCCCGCCAATCAAATTTAAAAGCCCGCACTCAATGACTCATTAAACGATCTAGCCAATGAACGCGAACGAGTCAAAGCGCGCTTTGTTCAAATCCGGACCAATCAAAGATAAGGCTGAATATCAGGGACTTGCCGTAACCTGTGGGCAGCACGCAAATAACATCGTCTCTCAGTAGATAATGATGCAGGGCCTCAAACTGCTAGACCCTATGGTTTCAATTCCGATTTACTCATATTTTGCAAAGAATCAAGAGATAACTTAACACATTCTTTTTCGTAGTCACTCGCCTTGCTTTCTTTGTGTACGGTAATACACTCGGAACTACTCGGATGTCTCCGCACTCGACAATAACTTTGTTGTTATTATGGAGCTTGCGGAATCAGCCGAGGATTGCCGATTGACGGTCAACCAATCAGCGTTTTCACCAAACTTTGGTGAAAAATTTTGAAACATGGATTTGATTGGCTTATATAAACTAGGTCAAACTATTTTCGTCAGAGGTAACTTGACACGATGGAGATAGGCTACAGTGAAAAGGTTAGTGTCAAGTTAGCTCTGAAGCTCAGGGTGCGTATAGGTAACTAGTAGCGGGAGTCGCTTTGCGCTGAACGACAAGAGAGAGAACTTTTTGCGGCAGTTTTATATTAGGATGAACCGCTCCCACACGCAAAGTCAATTGACCAGATACTTTCACAAGAATGTGAAAACGGTAGAAACAACATATTTTATCAACTTTTTGGTCAATTTAAAAATAATTCAATGTAGTAAGCCCTTTATCTTGTTTCTTGTAAGTATTAAAGAAGTTGACTTTTTTTTTTTTTTTTTGAAAGAGTATGTTCTATAAACTAAAAAGGACTAAATTGAGTGCATGCACAGACTGGAAAATAAATTTTGTCCAAACCTCTGTTATGTCATTACTGAATTTACTCCTCAAAACATCTAAAACAAGACAATTCAGTGCCACATAAAATGTAAAAAAAATCAGTTCTAAATACCCTAAAATGCACCAAATTGCATCTCGATTTAAAAAATTTTCCGGGGGGGCATGCCCCCGGACCCCCCTAGTATTGCTGGGATCGCGGACTGCCTACCACCTCGCAGAGCTTGAAAGCCAGGGAAAACACTGAAGGATATCAAATATATGTTTACTTCCAGTCTATGGAAAGAGAGAGAGATGATGGAGGTTGCCCATTTTTGGGGTCAGACTGTCAGAGCATTGTTCAAGAGGCAAGAAATTTTGCACAAGATATCATGTCTTAAAGGGAAAGGATATATCTAAAATGGTTCTACGTGTAAAAAAGCAATTTATTTTGAATAGTGTTATACCAAAAGAGTATCAGCCATGCTTCAAATCAACATCACTGTTCATCACTGAGCACTTCAAGGGATGTGAGTACAAAAAAAAAATGAAGTGACACAGTCTCATTCAAACTTTTAATGAAGCTACAAGGGTTTCTACTGAGTACAAAAGCCATCCCAACTCTTCAGATCAAAGAACCAATTCTTTTGCCTTTGCACTTGATTTCCACTATTCATTAGACTTTCTATAGAAGTGTCCACCACTGGTCTTCAAAGAATCCAGAACTTTTGTTCCCTAACCAAAATTTGATACCCGAGTGATCTCCTCATTCACAATGAGAATGATTTGTAAGAAAACATTGTGTCGAGTGTGACGGGACAATATTTGATAGCGTCCGGGCTGCGGACTAGAAATCATCTAACACTTTTGACATTTCATCTTTGTCATAACAAACCTTTCATCTCCAATTTCACCAACCATGCTTCAAAAATTAAATAACCTTATTTCTGACATTTCCCCTTTTATCATAAATCTTTCATTTTCAGTGACATATCAACCATGATACTGTACTTTTTTGTTCTAGTCCTTGCGTGATTAAACAACCCACTCTTGAGAATAACATCATTGTGCATCACCACACAATAATTTTTTACATCATAAAAGCAACCCAGGCAGTTGTAATCAAAACAGTAAAAGATGTCAGTATAAAACATAGCACTATCACACAAGCTCCCCACACAGTGCATATACTGTATACACAGTTTAAGAAGACCAGTCTGAGATTCTGTATCATCATCTTGTATCTTGTTATGAGTTAAATCAACAGGGCTCCACCCCAGCAGAACACCTGGGCTCCGTAGCTCGAAAGCATTGCAAATTGCAAATAGCGATATCACCTTTTACTTCGAGTCTATTATATGGGGCAAGTAAATCCTCGAGTTTTGGAATGG